TGATTAGGGGATGAACTACATCCTAACTAGGTTGACATCTACTCACTTATCTATCATTTATATTATTCTACTCTTTAAAACTTATATGCTTAATATATAGAAAAAAAAATAATACATTATTTATAATATCTAAATTTTTAAAACTTCAAATTTTGACATTGAGAGACTTATTTCAAAATTTTAAATTTAATAGTGTAAAAGTATAAATTTTTTTCAAATGAATGGTGGGTGGGCTGGGCTATTGGGTTGGGTTTCAGGCCGAGTATTGGATTTGGGGGAAAACTCAAGCCCCCTTTTTAAGAATATTAGGCTCGGGTTCGGGCTCGGGCGGCCCAACTATAAAGCCAATTAAATTTCGGGCCTACTTTTTTCAAGCCAGATAACATAACTCATGGGTAACCCGGCCCATGGAAGCCCTCGTACTCCCCTCAATTTTTCAAAATTATCATATAACTCCCTCTAATGTTTTAAAAAATCTTATGCCTCCCCTTGAAAAATCCTATACCCCTTTGAAGCTTTTCACACATGTACTTTTTGTAATATATTAAAAAAAAACTTAATGGACAAACATTTAAAAACCAAATGACAGTCTTAAAGATGAGCATTGCTCTTATAGATGAAAAAACATGATTGATTATCAAAAGGAACAAAAAAAAAAGAAATTGTTACATGATCGGGTTGCAAACATAAATTATATCATCTACAATGCATTAAGTCACGATTAATTTTTTTCATGTCAAACTAAAAATTCTAATGGTAATACATTTGTAGTTATTACATTGTGTAATCAATGAGAGAACAGTGAATGATGATATTGTTATAAATTAACTATTACTATGGAAAGCAAAAATCAATTTTTTTGATCTAATGATTCAAATTAATTTTAGCAAAGTTAGTTCTCATAAGATTTATTTAACTAAAAATTTAACATTAACTATAATTTTATGAATTACCCTATTGAATAAAATTTCTTATTGTGCTACTCTTTGACCCCCCTTCACCATAAAATCTTAACTTTGTTCTTGACCATAAGCACCGCGGCCTATAGGCATGATTATAGACTGATACTTGGCTTTGTCTATGCTAATTTAAGTTTTAAATCTTGAAATTTTAAAAAGGAGTCTTGTTTGGCCACAAAATCCAAAAGGAAAATATTTGTTCATGAAATACTCAAAAGACAATACTTTATTCCTTCTTAGTTCACTTAATTCTTTTCTTGTAGTATGGATAGAAGTTTTATTCCTTTGTTTGGCACTTACTATATACGTAAACACCAAAAGTACTTTACAATGAGAGATGTATGTTTTCCAGAAGAATCGCTTTCCAAAATAGTATGTTGTTGCTCTTTGGCTCCAACTTCTCCTTCTTTATCCGTTAATCCTACTCGTGAAACGTGATATAAACTTTATTCTTTCTTAATTCAAAATATTTTTGTAGTTCTATATATATATATATATATTGTTTATAACCAAAAATAATAAAATCTGATGACACGTGAAAACAATTCGATGGTCATAAAAGAGTCGGTGAGAATTCATATGCAATAGGATGGTTAATGACAGATAGACTCGGTCTTAAAGATGAGCATTGCTCTTATAGATGAAAAAACATGATTGATTATCAAAAGGAACAAAAAAAAAAGAAATTGTTACATGATCGGGTTGCAAACATAAATTATATCATCTACAATGCACTACCTCACGATTAAATTTTTTCATGTCAAACTAAAAATTCTAATGGTAATACATTTGTAGTTATTACATTATGTAATCAATGAGAGAACAGTGAATGATGATATTGTTATAAATGAACTATTACTATGGAAAGCAAAAATCAATTTTTTTGATCTAATGATTCAAATTAATTTTAGCAAAGTTAGTTCTCATAAGATTTATTTAACTAAAAATTTAACATTAACTATAATTTTATGAATTACCCTATTGAATAAAATTTCTTATTGTGCTACTCTTTGACCCCCCTTCACCATAAAATCTTAACTTTGTTCTTGACCATAAGCACCGCGGCCTATAGGCATGAATATAGACTGATACTTGGCTTTGTCTACGCTAATTTAAGTTTTAAATCTTGAAATTTTAAAAAGGAGTCTTGTTTGGCCACAAAATCCAAAAGGAAAATATTTGTTCATGAAATACTCAAAAGACAATACTTTATTCCTTCTTAGTTCACTTAATTCTTTTCTTGTAGTATGGATAGAAGTTTTATTCCTTTGTTTGGCACTTACTATATACGTAAACACCAAAAGTACTTTACAATGAGAGATGTATGTTTTCCAGAAGAATCGCTTTCCAAAATAGTATGTTGTTACTCTTTGGCTCCAACTTCTCCTTCTTTATCCGTTAATCCTACTCGTGAAAACAATTCGATGGTCATAAACGAGTCGGTGAGAATTCATATGCAATAGGATGGTTAATGACAGATAGACTCGGTCTTAAAGATGAGCATTGCTCTTATAGATGAAAAAACATGATTGATTATCAAAAGGAACAAAAAAAAAAGAAATTGTTACATGATCGGGTTGCAAACATAAATTATATCATCTACAATGCACTACCTCACGATTAAATTTTTTCATGTCAAACTAAAAATTCTAATGGTAATACATTTGTAGTTATTACATTATGTAATCAATGAGAGAACAGTGAATGATGATATTGTTATAAATTAACTATTACTATAGAAAGCAAAAATCAATTTTTTTGATCTAATGATTCAAATTAATTTTAGCAAAGTTAGTTCTCATAAGATTTATTTAACTAAAAATTTAACATTAACTATAATTTTATGAATTACCCTATTGAATAAAATTTCTTATTGTGCTACTCTTTGACCCCCCTTCACTATAAAATCTTAACTTTGTTCTTGACCATAAGCACCGCGGCCTATAGGCATGATTATAGACTGATACTTGGCTTTGTCTACGCTAATTTAAGTTTTAAATCTTGAAATTTTAAAAAGGAGTCTTGTTTGGCCACAAAATCCAAAAGGAAAATATTTGTTCATGAAATACTCAAAAGACAATACTTTATTCCTTCTTAGTTCACTAAATTCTTTTCTTGTAGTATGGATAGAAGTTTTATTCCTTTGTTTGGCACTTACTATATACGCAAACACCTAAAGTACTTTACAATGAGAGATGTATGGTTTCAGAAGAATCACTTTCCAAAATAGTATGTTGTTGCTTTTTGGCTCCAACTTCTCCTTCTTTATTCGTTAATCCTACTCGTGAAACATGACATGAGCTTTATTATTTCTTAATTCAAAAGATTTTTATACTTCTATACATATTGATTACACCCAAAATTAATAAAATTTGAGGATGAAACGTGGAAGTAATTCGACAGTCATAAAAAAGTCTGTGAGAGTCCATACTTAATAGGATGGTTAATAAAGTGGGACACTAAGAAATCCGAGAAGCGGAGAGACGTGACATCATGCACCGCCTATTGAAAACGATTTAGTGCATGCATGTACATTTCGAGGGATAGAGATCATAATCATAGTCATGGCCGAAAGATGGCTTCAACAATTGAAGGTTATTCCTATAAATAACCAAAGCAAGGCAACAAGAAAATGATCCTCCTCGATTAAGCTCAACAACTATACACAAAATCAACATTTCTCTTGCTTATTTTTCCTTTTCAGTAACTTTATTTTACTGCAATTTGTAGTTCATCACCAGTGATTTTTATTGCCTTTTATTTAATGTTATGTACAATACTTCTTTCATCTTTCAAATTAGTTTACCTACTACTTTACATTCTCGTTGTTTTTTTTTTATTCCGGTCCATTAGATTGTCAGTCAGGAAATTATTTAAGTCTTTGATCTCTTAGGCATAGAAAAAACCTCAAAAATATCCATACACCTCGTCGTCTCTCAATAGTGTTTCTTTTATTTTTTGTCATCAATATTGTTTTTTCTTTTTTTTTTTCCCTCCAAAATTTCTTTTCATTTTAATTATCCATTTGCTCTCAAATCTTATTTTCCTCGTTATCTTTATCACATTATAACTCTTCTTATAAATTTTTTGTTATGTTATATCTTAATACTAAGGGTAACCCGTACCTGAAGGCACAGTACAATATAAATGGTATAAAAAAGATGTTGGTGGTCATTGAATAAATCTATTTGAGATCGTCAGATGAACTTATAGAAGCTTGTTTTGTTTTATATTATAGATTTTTTTTCTAAGCTAAAAAAATCTCATAATACTTGATTCCTCAAAAAAAATTTAAAAAAAATATCTAATCTAAACATTTTTTTTGGTCAATAGATCTAATCTAAACTTGATAAATGATATCATTGTGAATGATAGAGTAGAGAGATCCATAAAAAATGATGAAATATAATTGTCAAATTTTTAAAAGATGGTGAAATTGGGTGGTTGAAACTTTAATTGCAAATTAGAGTTTTTCCTAATTTGATATGAGTTTAAGTAAAAGACATGAGTTTATTTTTAGCTTATTTTTAATCAAATTTAAATTTGAATCAGAATTTAAGTAATTAGTAGGGAGGTAATGATTCATAGTTGTTCCTCATTTTTCACCTCTTTTTTTCGTTGGAAAAAATAATAAATTTTTTTGTTGACTTCTATTTCAAAAACATGTTAACTTCCTTATATTCTATCAATGTGCATATAAATCCCTGAGATTTTGGCTCAAATTAAAATCATTAGAAATTTTGTAAAAAATTACGTCAAAATATTTGTATACTTCAATACAGATTATATTTTCCTCCCTCTAAAATTAATCAATCTCTTCCTCACCTGTTTGGTTTCTAGGCTTTGAATAGATTATCAAGAAGTATAAAATTTGCAAGAAGAAAAACACTGAAATTTTAAAACAAAAAGTGAAAGCTACCAACCAAAAATTGAAAGGTACTAACCAAAGGAATAAAGGGTAAGATTCCAAATCATAGAAAAGTAAAAGTGTAATTGGCATAAGCAATTTATCCTTTTTTTTTTTTGGTTGAGAGAGAGAGAGAGAGAGAGAATGTGTATATATATGATGCATTGCTTCTCATCTTTCCCAATATAACCATCAATATATTTCTCGTTAAACTCGCTCCACATGGAGAGCTCGGCAACAGAATTCAGCACTTCACTCCACCTCTCTGAAGTTTACAAATTTGCCTCAGAAGATACAGCAGAATCATTGGAATTCTTTTGTAACTTCTGGAGAAATGAAGGCGCAGTACCAATTCACCAACGCGGCGACACAATCCTCCACCTTCTGGCCATCAAAGGGAATGTGGCTGCCTTGGGAAACCTACTTCTGGCAGACCACCTCCTCGACGAAATGCTCCTGATAAAGAATGCCAGCGGCAACACTGCGCTGCATGAAGCTGCGAGGTCTGGTCAGAAGGTTGTGGCGGAGATCATGGTCACGAAGAAGCCAGATTTAGTTTTCCAGCGGAATGATTTGAACGAGACGCCTCTTTACCTTGCTGCTGCGTTTGGAAAGATTGAAGTATTCACACTTCTGGAAAGCTACAATAGCGATTGCAGGATAAGGAGGCATGATGGCTTCACCATTCTTCATGCTGCCATTGAGGGAGAACGTTACAGTAAGTTTTCAATTCCATTCATTAGTTAATATATATTCATTCGAATGTTGATCAAACCAACCACAAATTTTGATGGAATTACCTCTTTAATTTTCTCCATTAAAAAGCTTAAGTTACCCACTGATCTTCGCAAGTACAACATTGCATTAGGGGCAAAGACAAGTATCTCTCGCATCCCCTAGTATCCATCGCGTATCCGAGCCGTTTCCATCTGTGAGAATGGCTGCTTTCCTGTGCATGACACTTTTGAAAGTATTAGTCACGCGCATCTGTGTCGGACACATGTCCGACACTACTACCACGGCGACCCCCTCAAGTATCTATGTTTATTCGTGCACATCTCCAATCCTTTATCTTTTTTTCAATTTAAATTTAAATTTAGATAAAAAAAATTTATAAACATTTTTCAATGCTAAACTCATACTCATATCAAATCAAGAGAAACTCATTTATTTATTTAAATTAAAAAAAATTTAAATATATACTTAAATTTTTAATGGTGAGATTTCATCATCCTTTATAAATCTAATAGTCATATTTTATCCTCTTTTAAATTTGAGTTTTTACATCGAAGAGTTTTATATCATATTAAGTTTTTTATTTTTTTACTCAAACTTGAGTAAAAGTTTAAATTTTCATTAGAGAAGGTGTCGATTGGGGCTTAAATAGGTCAACGAGTCAAATTGGGCCAAATAACTCTGAAAACTTCACGTGGCGGTCTGGGCCAATGAGCTTTTGGTTCAACCCATATGTCACAGGACAAAATTTTGAGTCTTATTTTCACAATACGGTAGAGATAATATGAAAATTAGAAGTGCGGATATTAGGACAAAATTCGTTGCTAGATTCTTTTGGAAGACTAATAAAGTAATGACGTGTCACACACTAGGCTTCTCAAGTGATAATTAAGAGTAATAACAGTGGCACCATTTGGTAACGATGGAACGTTTCATAATTGTATAATAATTGGTATCGAAAATTTAAGTTTTATAAATTTGATATAATATTTAATTCAAATTACTACAACAATTAAGGGTTTTTTGTGACAAAACTTTTTGTCACTATAAATGTGTATTTCGTCACTGAAGAGTTTCAGTGATGATATTTCTGTCGTCACTAGGTGGTCACTAGAAGTTTGTCAGTAATTGTCTATAGTGACTATAGACATTAAAATTTTAATTAACAAATTAATGTCTATTAAATAAATAAAATTGGGTTGGACATTAATTTTGTAACCTAAATAATACAAGCCCAAATTTAATTAACAAGACTTGTTTAATTAAATTAAACTGGACCTAAATTCTATAACCTAAATAATACAAGCCTAAATGCAATTAATCAGGCTTATTAAATTAAAATGGACTTAAATTCCATAAGCCCAAATTAAATAAACTTTCAAAAGGTAAAATGGGTTGCACTTAAATTCTATAAAGCTTACAAATTTATGGGTAATCCACTACCTAAATCTCATATAAGAGTAATAAGGACTCTTATATGAATAACTACTCGTACCACTATAAATTGAGGTCTTGGGATAGGCCAAAAGGGAGAAAAGGAAGAAGAAGTCAAGGAGAAAGGAAGATCGACGAAGCTCTGCTCAAAGTTCACTAAAGCCTTAAAACCTTGCAAGTTCATCTCCAAGAAGAAGAACACACTACCAAGGTCCTTCTTCAAAAAATTCAAATCATCTTCAAATCATTCCAAACAAAGAACGATGAGGAGATTTATCAAAAGCATCATCAAATTGAAGAGTAAGAGATACATTGATTCAGCTCTCATTTTCATCAAAGCTACCAATTAAAAAGTGAGAAATACGTCAATCAGGCCCTCATCTTCACTAAATTCATCAATTTCATCAAATTTACCGAGAATCAGAGAACAGTGCACGTGAGAAGCACGCCAAAAAGAGTCAACACTATATTTTTTTTCTTAAAGTCAATCAAATTGACTATTGTAATTTGACCTTATTTTGTGTTAATTTATATCACAAATTTTGTCGTTACGGTGACAATTTAGAATAACATGTCTCTATATCCAATGTCACTTTCCCATACTTATTACATACCTAATATTACTCTTAATCTCATATATGTGGGTCAACTTTGTGACATCGGACTCACTGTTTTATTTTCTTCTACTGGTTGTAGTGTTCAAGATCCATGAATAGGATAGACCATTGGGATAGGCCATACACATGGATATTTGTTTGAGCTTACCTATCTTCGTCTTCCAAAACGACTATTTTACTCAGTGTTCTCTAGTGTTTTTGCTTTCGCTTTGACCAACTCTCATTTCAATCTTTGGCATTCCTGTCTAGGTCATGTTTCTTCAAGTCGTCTACAATATTTAATTTATATTGGTTAGTTAGGGCAAGTTCACAGCGAACAACTTGATTGATTGTCTTGTAAAGTTGCAAAGCAACTATCTTACCTTTATCTATCATTTGCCCCTTTTGATTTGATTCATTATGATATTTGATTCAAAGTACTTTGTCATTTTTATTGATTTTTTTTTTTTGGAAGGAGAAAGGGTACTTAAACCCTTGACCTCTAGAAGACAAAACCTTCACAAGATAAGGAATACTATTTGACCAAATGTAAATTGATTTATTGATGATCGTTTTCGATTCACTTGAATTTATCTTTTGAAAACTCGATATCAGTTGCCACAAATTTATTATAATTTTATCAAAATGGTCCAAACTCAATTATCGTGATCCATTAAAGTTTTTAGATCTGATAATACTATGGAATATAGAGACGCCACATTCCTTAACTTTTTTAGTCAACACGACACCATTTTTCATCGTTTTTGTTATCGTACATATCAATAAAATGGACATGTTGAGCGTAAACATCGTCATATTCTTAATATTGTTTGTGTTTTTCTCATCTCTTCTTCATGTATTGAGTGTTTTAGGGTAAAGCTTCTCTTATTTTCGTTCACACCATCAATCATATTTCATCCACTATTATTAGGAATCAATCTCCATATGAGTGATTATATGACACTTTTCCAGATTACCACTCTCTTCGAGTCTTTAGTTGTGCATGTTTTGTCATACTCTAGCCTCATGAGCGTATCAAATTGGAACCTAGGGCACGTCTTTGTTGTTTCCTAGTTTATAAGATTGAACATAAGGGTTATCGTTGTTGGGAGCCATATTCCAAGCATCTTTGTGTTTCTCAACATGTCATCTTCTAGGAACACAAGATGTTCTCCTCCTTGTCTCAATTTTAGCTTTTGTCTTCCCCTACTTCTCATCTCTTTATTGATCCATTATGGATTTATATCTTGATGACCCACATCCAGACTCGTCTAAGCTCTCATCTATAGACCATCAAGAGGCTTTTGCCTTGCCTGTTGATCCTGTTGTTGCCCCACTTCATACTAATAGTGATCATGTCTCAGCTTCTGAACCCTCTACACCATTTCCCGTTGATACTCATTCTCATGCTCATCAGCAATGTTATTCCACTCGAATAAGAAACATTCTTGTTCGTTTGCATGATTATCATTGTTTCCACTATTCTCTCTCAGCATGAGCTTCACTCTTATCGTGTGGCTAGTTGTGACCCTCATTGGCAACAAGAAATGATAAAAGAGTTACAGACATTAGTTAACACAGATACTTGAGATTTGGTTGCTCTTCCTCCTAACAAAATAGTTATTGGATGTAAATGAGTTTATAAGATCAAGACTTGCTCCAATGGTCCTATTGAGCATTACAAGGCTCGTCTAGTGACGAAGGGTTTTACATAAGTGTACGATATTGATTATGAGGAGACTTTTGCTCCCGTTACTAAGGAACTCTACATGTAGCCTCCTTCTGGTTATCTTCATTCACCACATTAGGTTTGTCGACATTGTCATGCAATTTATGGTCTCAAGTAAGTCCCTAGAGCCTTGTTTTCAAAGTTTAGTGCTACTATTGGAAATTTTGGTTTCTCTTCCAACCCTTATGACTCGGTTCTTTTTGTTTGTAAGACTGAGCATGATATTACTCTATTTCTTCTCTATGTGGATGATATGATTATCACTGGGATGATATTTCTAGAATTTTTTATCTCAAATTTTTTTTCAACACACACTTTGAGATAAAGGATTTAGGTTCTTTCAACTACTTCTTGCGCCTTGAAATCTCGTCTGACTCTAGTGGGTATTATCTCTCTTAGGCCAAGTATGCCTCTGATCTTCTTACTCGTGAACTTACTAATTGCAAGATTGTATCTACCCCATTAGACTTATTCATTTGGATGGCACACCTCTCCATGATGACTCTCTTTATCTCTAGTTGGTATGCAATCTTGTGTATCTCACTGTTATTCGTCCAAATATAGCCTATGTTGTTCATCTTGTCAGCTAATTTTTGATTGTCCCTCGCTTTACTCATTATGTTGTTGTTCTTCATGTTTTACAATAAATTAAGGGTACTATGTTTCACAGTTTTCATTACTCTACTCACTTATTTCTTTAGCTATGTGCCTATTCTGATGTTGATTAGGCATGAGATCTTACTGATCGTCGTTCTACCATTGGTTATTGTTTGTTTCTTGATGACTCTCTCACCTCTTAGCGTTGCAAAAAATAGTCTGTTATATCTCAATCCAATACAAAGGTAGAGTACCGCACTATTGCTGACACTACTCAAGAGCTTTTTTGGCTTCGTTGGCTCTTAGAAAATTTAGATGTCTCTCATTCTAGTGCTACTATTCTTTGTTGTGACAATCGAAGTAAGATTATAGATTGCTCACAAATATGTTTTCTATGATCATACTAAGCATATTGAAATTGATTGTTATTATGGTTCGAGGCACAGTTCATATTGTCTCATTTCTTCATCTGACTAGATTGTTGACATCTTTACCAAGGCACCTTCAACGTGAATATTTCATGATTTATTTTTCAAATTCAAGTTGATTTCTATTTTGCTTCCTTGAGTTTGAGAGAAGATGTTAATATATATATATGTTTGTCCCACATCGATTAGACTTGAAAACTTCACTACTCTCTTGTATTATAAATAAACATCCTCATGTATAGAATAAATTACACTAAAGCAATATACAATTGATATTCGCTTTCTATTCTCTTCTTTCACATGTGAAAAGTTAGCCAACTATCATCCTAACTTAAAATTTTTGCAACTTATGTCAACTAGGTTTGGCTATTCGCATCTTGGAATCGTACCCTGATCTTGCTGACAAACATGATGAAAACGGTATGACTGCTTTGAATTTGTTGGCCACAATGCCATCTTCTTTCAAAAGCAAGTCATCATATGTGTTGCAGGATCTGAACAGGAAACCCTTCATTCCTTTGCAGATGCTTGAAGTTGTGGTCTACAAGTGTAAGCATTATGAGATTATATTGTAGTAGCATTGAAGATAAATTTTTGTTTTATATATTTTTACCAGCTTATTCCCATTCCCTTTTGAGGATATAACTGAAAATACAAATTAATAGATTTTTCTCGTAAACAAATCACATAACAAAGAACTAAATTGGCATAAGACTTAAGGTTTTCAAATTTTGGTATTTTTTTCCTTATAAAGTTAACAACTTCTTCATATAAAGTTACATCGAGTCTAGGAATTGACCAACAAAAAAGGTTTTCAAAATGAAAATTGATTCCTTCATTTAATTACTTGAACTCGACATAAATAAAGGGTTTGGCATACTGTTACATATTACTAGTTGCTTTACTCTTCAATATGCCATATTAGTTTACATAAATAGTCATTATGCTAACTGATTTTTTGGGCAATCACCCTGAGAAAACAATACAAAAAATTAGGTTTGTACCCGATTGATCCCTATAGGGGACCATCAGTGGGGACTAAATTGATTCTTATTTTTTTTTTCACACTAGAATTCTAATTTTGGCTTTTAATTTTTGTCAAACAATTGTTTGCTAACACTTCTCTTAAATATTATTATTGTATTTTTTTGCTTTTTAAAGATTTTTTCGGGTAAATTGTTTTTTTTTAATCTACTAAGATTCATAAATCACTTTTACAAAATACTAGGCAAACTAGTATTTGTTTGCTTGACGAAATTATTTATTTTTAAGCAAAAGCGCCAGTTCTTAAAAAATTACAGAATGAATTCTACTTTGCTAAGTTTGTTGAAATATAGTACCAGTCCTTTGTTTATCTGTTTGAGTTGGTAGATAGAAAAAACCTACTTGTTATAAAACATTTATAGAATTGTCTACTTGATAGAAATTCTTAAGTTTTGCAGTTTTGGAAAATTTTAGTGAATTCCTTCATGTGTGATTGCGTAGGTATTAAAACAAGGATTGACGACAAAGTTTCGGAGTCACATGTGGCTGGTAATGTAGAGGATCCAGCAGCTGATAACAAAGCTCGTATCTCAAAAGTAGAAATGCCATTTTTCATCAGAGTTATCATAGGTGTGGTACCGCTTCTTATTCTTATTTTTCTTCTTCTTGTCTTTATTATCAATTGAAAATTTTACATTATCGATTGTTGTTTAAGGAAACTGAATCTCTTAAAGAATAGAAGTCCAATGTTGGTGTCTTTTATGATAAAACTCATGGAGAACGTTATTCACCCTCTCCTTTTCAACTGTAGTATCTCAAGTGTTTTGAATTTTAGAATTTTTATTGTATTTTTTCAAAGATAAAGGATCTCGTATTAACTCTTTAATTTCTCAAAAGCAAAGTAATGTGCCACCAGTGATATCTGTTGTTTCCAATTCTGAATATATTTAAAAGTGCAACTTTGCCTCATAAATAGTTTATTATGTCAAATCAAATGTACAAGGCGTGATTTTTCAATGAACGAAAATGAGACACTATTTACAAATTGAGACATTTTTTTAAGTGTTTAAGAAATTCAAGTCTAATATGATACTTTTAATCTTTTGGGGAAGAGTCAAAATTTTAAGATTTTTAAAGAAAGAGTGTCAATCTTGCTAGAGTATTTACATTAGTTTTTTTCTTGGGCAATGCCGTTGGAACTTAATGATTGTAGTCATTAGATTGTCAATAAATCTCAATATTAAATTATCAGTGGTTCTTAACACTATCAATCCAATAGTCACAATACATTAAGTCCCCAAATTATATCACAATACCATTAAGAGCAATGATACATGAAATTAAAAAGTAGACTTATTAATTACAACCATTGATTTCATAGTGGATTATAGTATTTATTGGGACCTATTATCTATTCAATAGTTGTGATTATCAAGTCTACTCTTTAAATTCATATAGCATTACTAGGTCACTGGTTAAAAGAATAATACAATCCAATATTTAATTCACTCATTTACTAAACGAGCCATTTGTGTTTCTCCTTCTATAACTCTACTGCTACAATTGTCCATCTTCTATTAGGTCACTGGTTTTTCGGAAAAATTTACAATGCAAAGCAAAAGCACGAATTTGTGGATAAACTGGCACATAAATTGATAGAAAAGGAAGATTGGAGCCATTACATTAAGTACGAAAGTATAGATCCCGAAGTGAGCTCATTTGGGATTTCGTCAAGGAAGAAGAATAAGGTACCCGACCCGCTCATACAAGCAACAAGGTTCGGAATTCTAGAGTTGGTAATGGCAATCCTCAAAAAATATCCCCAGGCTGCATACTCCATCGACGATAATGGAAGGAATATATTGCATATAACGGTGGAGCAGAAACATAGATTTGTTTATGAATACTTGATGCGTTCGTTAGATTATAAAGATAGGATGTTGGCAGATATTGATAACAGAGGGAACAGCATCTTGCACCTCGCATCGTGTGTCCAAAATCCTGCTACTTCTCATCCTAGAATCACAGACGTTGCTAGTCAATGCAGAGTCAATAATGATTTCAGAAAGAAGCGGGGAAGTGTCCCATTGATACACCAGATGAGTTGGGATGTGCTTTGGTTCAAGGTAACGTACGTACTAAAACATATTAAATTAGACCCGTACAAACAGCATTTTGCATTAATAACTAATTTGAGGCCTCCCTAATCCTTTATCACAGCAAGTAGAGCATGACACTTACCCACACTTAAGGCATGTTCGAAACATGGATGGAATGACAGCAGAGGAACTATTTGAAGAAAATTACTCATCTGTTCGAGAAGAAGCAGAGAAAGCAGCAAAGGAGGCGAGTGGTAACCTCATAATCGTCACCATCCTCATCGCAACACTTAACTTCGCAGCACTTTTCACCGTCCCCGGTGGCTTCAATCAGGATACCGGGGACCCCATGCTCCTCTCTAATCATCGACAGGAAATGCAGTTCTTCATGGCTTACGTAGGGTTATCTCTGTCATTCGCCTTGTTCTCCTTGGCAAACATCCTGCTAATCCAACTATCGCGATTCGACACCAATGATTTTCACATTTCAATTCCAACAAAATTCATATTTTCCTCCCTCGCCCTTATGTACTCCGCCGGCTTGTCCGGCACCGCATATTGCCAAGGCTATATACTTGAGGGCCAGCCAGAAACCTTCTTAGCCACCGTTACGATTTTCTGCTTGTTCGTTGGGTGGTATGTGTTGGCCCTCTTAATGGTAGACACCACGGCCTCAGTTTTCGATTACATGTACTATGCACTTCTCCATTTGATTGCTTATAAAAGTAGGGGCATATAGAATTTGATTATTGAGATTTGTATTGTATAATATAATCTTTGTACTCAAGAGAATTACAACAAATGAATTAAGAGTTTTGTTAGAATATATATTACAAATTTACATAAGAAACAGTGACTTTGCTTAATTAACGTTAGTTTTTAGTTCAATTACCAACTTAATGTTGTTTTGAAAAACAATTCCCATTGTGTTATTTTAGATGTTACATGTTAAATATGAATCTAAATCATCTCCATTATTTTTTCACACAATTTTACTCAAGAGTTAATCGCAAATTACACCCGGAAAGATCTCTCAAATTTTAATTTGTACCCTCAAAGATAAAAAAATTTAATTTATACCCTCAAAGATATAAATTTGTATCAATGTACACTTGAAACTAACGTTCGTCAGTTTGCCCTTTAAAACTAGTTGGATAAGTTATACCTAAACCCTTTCAAGTTTGTCACTTAATCATTTGGACTCCCTCATATTTAGAATATTACTCTTACACCTCCTGACATGTGTGCACGAATAACATATAATTTTGTGAGCTCGTTATATTCTAAAGTTCAAAATTAAGCTTACTATTTGAATATCCAATATAATGCGAATATTTATATAATGTTTTTTATATCCAATGCAATACATGATTTGAACATAATTATATGGATGCTCAATTGGGGGAACTTTTTTAGTCATATTTGAATTCTTAGGGGATATAGGTGTAACATTTCAATATAAGGGGTCTAGATGATTAAGTGACAAGCATGAGGGAGTCTAGGTGTAATTTATCCATTTAGTTTTAGACTGCAAAACTGACGGTTGTTAGTTTCATGTGCGCATTAATACATATTCATATCTTTGATGGTGTAAATTGAGATTCGAACGATCTTTCGAAATATAATTTGCGATTAATCACTCACCGAGTCACCGTATATAAGTGAGGGGTCCACATAAATAATGGTTCTCACGTGAATACATAGTGGATGATCTACTATTAAATAAAATTGTGTGAAAAAGTAATAGAGATGATCTCAATCTGTTAGATGTCACGTGGGCAAATGTGTTTGGAAAGTTTTGGAAAGTAATATGTTTGGAAAGTTGACCTCAATTAATAAATGGCTTTCGTTTAATTAGTGTTGATAATCGAGTTCTGTGATTTTTTGGATTTCGTTATTTTGTATTTGTGTTGAGTACTAATCAATCTTAATTTTACTCACTTGATTAATTGTGTTGGATGTATAGATACTAACATGATCTATTTATTATGTCTTGCTTGTGTTAATCTACAAAGCCTGTGAACCAAAAAAATCAAAGCTAGAACTTCTTCTGTGATCTAAAGGGCGTACTTAGTGCACGAGTCTTCCATCATTGCAAAATTTGAGGAGGGTTATATGTATGTATCCTTACCTTTGTTAACAGAGAGACTGTTTTCACGACTCGAACTGTAACCTCGAAGTCACAATGAATAACTTTACTGTTGCGCCGACGTCCATCCTCGTAACATCTTCTATCTCAACCAAACTAATTACTATTGGTCTTCCATAAACTAAAATTCATATGCTAGCAAAATCAGAAAAATAATCTTCTAATTCTAGGAAAATACCATTTCAGCATAAGAAATGAAAAAAAAATAAAAAAAAAAAACATATTAAATTTTCTTCATACAATACTAAAAAAAACGAGTTTTGTGTCAAAATAATATTATTTATATTTATCACTATAAAACCCTTTTATTATTCATGTTAACATAATCAATCTTAATTGGATAATTCTATATCATGTGTATGTCCTATTACGCATCATGTCAAAATGACCATCTTACTCGTGAGTTATGTTGGAAATATATTGAAATGGAGGTTACGATAATTTCAAAAGATCTGGAGAGTAAACGGTAATACAAATGTGATCAAAATCGGGTTGCTCACCTGCTATAGCACTTCGGCCTTAGTGTGGTCTTTCTACGAATAGCAAGTGTTCTTTATCAAAGACCCGAAATGTACTTCTTTGCTCAAAGTTTTGGCCTCAATGATCCTATTTCCTTGGTCTTCGAAAGGATTAACTAAAAAGTCTAAGGTTCCATGTCTTAACAATGCAGAATAGTAACCCTTTTATTTCGGATAGAATAAGGAGGGTCATGGGAACTGAGAGGTTTTGAGATGAATAAGTTACTTTGTTCATACTAAATCAGGGAGAGTGTTTTCGAACATCACATAAGATATCAATTTTTTTCCATTTTTTTTTTTTTGGAGGGATGGATTTGGGGCTCTGGCTTTTTATTTGACCCCTGCTCACATCACATAAGATATCAATTTTTTTCCATTTTATTTTTTGGAGGGATGGATTTGGAGCTCTGGCTTTTATGTGACCCCTGCTCTCGCTCCCGCTCTATGTCATCTAGGGCAAAACTACAAAGCCAAAGTGTGGTGTGCTTTCCAATTCATCAATAAACATGAAAAAATAATGCATCACCGAGAGAATTACTTCAACAATACTGATTTTTTTTTTTGAACAGTCTTCTACAATACTGTGTTTTTTTTTTTTGAACGGTCTTCTGCAATACTGTTAGATTGGCCATTTTAGGAGTATTACTATTTTGGGCAACAACTCAAAAAGAAATTATTTATCCAGGATGACGATACGGTATTTATAATTCACTAAATTATTTTCTTGCAATATGGATGGGGGATTATTTTGTTTCTGGCACTTACCATAAATAAAATACCAAATGTCGGCCACGAACGCATATATGGTTTCCAACTCTTTATACATAATGTGTCGCAAAAGAACCACTTTACTATATATTTTTTGTTTTTTCTTTGGCACTCAAACTTTTCCTTTGTTGTTCATTAATCATGATGGGCTTTATGTGTTTCTTCTCACTAAGGAAAGGAAATGATGTATAGTCATTTTTAGGGGTGTTAATTGAGACGAATTACGCAGGTTCGACTGGTTCTAATAAGACTAGGCTTGAGCTCAACTCGTGTTTTGAACGAACTGAATTTGAATAATTTTTCATACTCGTTTTCCTAACAGGTTTGACTCGTTTATATGTAAAATAATCGCGCTACTCATGCTCAGCTCATTTTCTAAACAAGCCGAGCTTGACCAATACTTTAAACTCGTTTAGAAAATGAGCTCGACAGACTTGGGCTCAAGTTCGCAAAGTTTAACTCGATTAACACTCATGGTCTTTCATTTCACCTCTTTCTTTTAAGCAAATTATAAATTATCACCTTTGTATTTGTCCCAGCAATTCAATATCTCTCATTATAAAATATAAACAGATATGTATCCTCAAGTGTTTTGGACTGAACTTAAATAATTAGAAATTATGGGTAACTCATATTTGAAGGTACGGCGCAATACAAATGGTTTTGAGTGAGATGTTGGTGACCGTTTGATGAGTCTATTTGAGACCGTCGATTAGACTTATTGAAATTTATTTTGTTCTATATTACAGGTTCCGTGAAAATTAACGACTAATGATTGATATAATTTGTAACAAAACATGTCGAAACAATTATTATATCCTTATGTGTATCACATTTTTTTTCTTTCTTAAATTAATCAATCTCTTTCCCATTTCTATGTATTAAGTGGACTTTCAAGTTATCTTTTTTATTTTCATACTGAACTACTAACACTAAAAAATTTACATGATTAACGAATTTAACTAGTATTATAATAATAAAATATTAATTTATATTTATATTTTATCAAGTAGTGACATAATTATTATCATATTTATTGAGTTAATGTTTAGTTTAAAGAAAAATTATGAGCATAGGTTCGATTAAGTTACAATTAAATTTTAAACTTAAATCTAAGCGTTAAATTTTTTATTTCGATTATATGGGTCAACATAAATACGACACAAAAACTAAATAGGTCGACTCGACACAATTAATTAAACGTTGAATTAAAATTGACTATTACTCGAACTCAAAATGACACGGCACATATCATTGTCACCCTTACTATAAATTATAAATAGTAAGTTAGATGAGAGAGAAAAGAGATACATCTACAAGGCCAAAGGGTGGTGTGCCTTCCAACTCATCAGCAGACATGTCAAGAAGGCATCACAGAGGGAATTACTTCTAACATGCTGTAAGATTTTTAATTTTAGGAGGATTACTTCTCTGGCCAAGAATCCAACAAGGAAGTTATCATGGCTTCTTAGCTCACTCATTCTATTCTTGCAAGATGAATTAAAGTTGATTTTTTTAATTAAATTACGATAAATTTGAATGACATTTTTAATGTACTTTTTATTTATCAAATGTGAGATATATGTACTCCACATATTTATCTCTCTTTAACCCGTGATCCAAACATACAATGAGAGTTTATGAATTTCAACACTTTATCCATGACATGTCCCAAGGAAATTTCCTGAAAATTAACAGTTTATTAAAACATGATGTCATAATAACTTTCACATACTATACATATCACAATTTTTAAATTTTTTCCTAAATTAATCAATTTGAAATTTAAATAGATTAAAGAAATTATGTTGTTTTTACTCTAAATTGCGAGCTCCATCCATTGTCGCGAAACAAAAGTTAAAGTGGGTGTAGCCAGATAAAGTATTATTAGTTCAAATCATACGACAGTTACATATAATTTAATTTTTTATTATATACTCCTTTGATATATTTTTTTTCTCAGTTTTACATAGAATCATCAATTTACATAAATAAAATCACGTACCACTTGAATACTGAAAGAAATCTCTTTACATTCCTATTTTTATTAGGGTTAATCTTACTTTGTACTCTGAAATATGTTTTGATTCTCAATTTATAGTCTCAAACATTAAAAATTTTAATTTACACCCTCAAGGTTATAAATTGATAGCAATGTGAATTTGACCCAGACTTTTGTTCATTTTTTTGTTATAAATTTAAGCACATGAGATGCACGTGCGTATATCTATTGCTACAGATTTTCTTCAAAGATCAATTTGACATCATTTTATGTATCAAAAATAAGATTTCTTAATTAGATAAAAACTAATCATATTATGTGCAACTCATATAAGACGCAAACATGACGAGAATATATACATTAGCCTATGCCAAAAGTACTTGCAATTCAAGTGTTTTAATTTATAACATAAAACTGAAAGTATCCTGGGCAAGATCCACATTGATACCAATTCATAATATTGAGGGTAAAATTGATATTTTTAATGTGTGAATGTAAAAATTAAAAATCGAAACATCTCCTGGAATGTAAAATAAGATTATCCTTTGTTATTATAGAGATTTAACTTTAGAGACATGTATAAATGATGCATTGCTTCTCATCCTTCCATACATAAAAACATCATCAATATATTCGTCCTTAAACTTGCCTATGTGGCAATCTCAGGAACCAATTTCAACCTGTTCAGCCACCGTTCTGTGGCTTACGAATCTGCATCCGAAAATACACCAGACTCACTTTCATTCTACCGTAGTTTCTTGAGAGACAATTGCGCTGTACCGATCGACAAACCCGGTGACACGGTCCTCCATCTTCTGGCCATCAATGGCAATGTGGCCGCCATGGAAAGCCTACTGCAGGCAGACCTCCTGCTCGACGAAATGCTCGTGAGAAAGGATGTCAACGGCAACACTGCGCTGCACGAAGCTGCGAGGTTTGGACATGAGGGTGTGGCGCAGATCATGGTCAAAAAGAAGCCGAGTTTAGCTTTCGAGAGGAATAATTTGAACGAGACGCCTCTTTACCTTTCCGCTGCGTATGGTAAGAAGGAAGTTTTCGAGCTTCTGGAAAGTTATAGCGATTGCAGAGCAAGGAGGTACGATGGCTGCACCGTTCTTCATGCTGCGATTGAAGGAGAACGTTACAGTATGTTTTCACTTCCATTTTTTTTTAAAATATTCATTTCAAAGTGGTAATAAGATCACCAGCAATCTTCCTTCATGGAACATATATATTAGGAAGCTTAACAGGGCACCAGAGGCGGCCCAACGTAAATGGGTTTAATTATCATTATTTAATATTTTATTGATTTAAAAATTATTTTTCTTATTTTTTGAAATCCAAAAATATTGATCAAATTTTTAAATTCAAGTTTTGTCAATAAGTGTTGGGAATCTTATAACATATTGTGGAAGTCTAGGGTTAAAGACATACATTGTTCGCTTTAATCCTAAAAATCGTTTAAAGATGTTCTACATACTTTAGAATCTTGAAAATTATCTTTTCTTCGATTGCTTGAATAGTATAATATTATTATAATAGGAATCAACACCAAATTTCTTCAGGACAAAATCCTTTCAACGTTATGTAGGGAGAGAGAGAGAAATAAAGAAAAACACTTTAACGTTTTATTATTTTTGAGAGATCTCTCATCTATTGGTTGCCTTGAGTTTATATAGGCAACCAATAGGTGTCATTAAGAGACACATAATATAATATAGAGACATGTCTGTTAATATTTAACATACATGTATTTTGGGTGAAGGATACCTTTTGATAAAGGATAATTCTTGATAAATAATACCTCCAAAAGATATTCCCCTTTGGGCATTATTTAATTTGGGTCAACCCACCATGGGCGCCTCGATTCGTGTCCATGACCCAACCAATATCTAACATCTCCCACTCGCACGTGGTGGGTACGACACTATCATCTCCCTCAATCCATAATATACATCAACATTAATTCATACAGGCTAATGGGTCGTGCCACCACTGAGCACACCAGCAATTTGGGAGCTCTACACTAAAAACTCTATAGAGCCAGCATAGAGACATCAACCCTAAAAAAAAATGAAAATGGTGTCTCAAATACTCTAGATCCATTCGGATACACCAGTTCAAACATCTCTAATCCCTCTCAATATAAGAGCATGCATAACCCCTCAAAGCCTTCACCTATATATTCACACTTTGTCACTATCTAAACTAGTGCCCAAAGTTGTCAACAGTGAATATATCGCGGGATGTTCCAAATGGTCTTCCTTTCGCCCTTATGTCACTTAGTTCAAAATTAACCGCTTTCCCAGCAATGTCTCGGAAGGCCAAATCAGTTGTGGCCGTAAGTAATATGTCAAAGTAGTTGAGCATTAATTCTATCACTTTTTGACATAATCAAAAGTCAAAGAGTACATAGAATGTTTGGTTAAACAAAATAACCTGGTCATGTAAAAATGACTCGGAGGGCTCACATAGTGAGGAAGCAAGAATCCATTCCTTCACCTCCTTAATTGTCGCCAAGCAGATGTAGTATGAAATACATGTTACGATGGAGTGTCTCGATCCTAATGAATGTGTATGTCACACTCAGACACCGTACAGATCTTAGTCTAGTCGCTCTACAAGGGTATAACCCGAGTTCTCTATTTGCTCACCCTCCAAAGACGCCAAATAAAGATCTCGCATCTGGCTAATCAACAAACACAAGCATAATGGACATGGAGTTGTGTCCATTATCGATCCTCAATTTTCAGATCTCATTCTGTGTACAAAACAGAGCGATACTATATGTTAAAGTATCTAATATTTGCTCGCCATATCAAGCCCCAAAGGCGATTGCTCGTGTGAGTGAGTCAATCACGCCTGCTGACATACTTAATGTGTGTGCTTTTTCAAATATCAAGGTAATTAAGCAATATAACATTTAATTACAATTAAAACCATGTATTAATATCTCCAAAAAAAATGTCAATACAAATGACTGTGTAATTCATACAATCTCTAGCACCTAATCAATACCTACAAAGTCTCAAAGTTCTAACATGAGTCATATACATATCTCTAGCTATAGGTTTAGTTAGGGGGTCTGCAACTATCTGATTTGTAGGTATGTGTTTCAAGATTACTTCTTTTTGTGCAATCATTTATTTGATGTATTGATATCTTAGATCTATGTGTTTGGTTCTTGCATGATACTTAGGATCCTTAGCGTAAGCTAATACAGCCATGCTATCACAATGAATCGTCACTAGGCCCAAGGTATGTGTAACAACTCCTAGATGTTGAAAGAACTTTCTTAACCAAACAGTTTCTTGTACAGCAGCAGAACAAGCCACGTATTCTGCTTCCATAGTGGATAAGGATATGCATGATTATTTTTTACTACTCCATGTAATTGCCCCACCATTAAGTAAGAAAGCATATCCTGATGTGGACTTACGTTCATCTATATCACCACCCCAATCAGCATCACTATAACCAACCATCTGTAAATTTGGAGACTGGTAGCATAATATATAATCTGAAGTCCCCTTGAGATATCGCAGTATCCTTTTGACTGCCTTCTAATGAGCTATTCCAAAATTTGACTGAAAACGACTAAGTAGGCTCACCGCATAGCAAATATCGGGACGGGTACACATCATAGTGTACATTAAGCTACCTACAGCACTGGGATGGGGAACACGAGCCATCCTTTCCTTTTCCTCAAGAGATTTAGAGCACATCTTTAGGCTTAGTCTACGGTCTTTCGCTATAGGAGTGTTTATGGGTTTGCAGTTCTGCATCTAGAATCGTTCAAGTACCTTCTTAATGTAAGTCTCTTGAGACAAACCAAGAAGTTTCTTGGAACGATCCCTTAAGATCTTAACTCTGAGCACATAACTTGCTTCATCCAAGTCATTCATCTCAAATGTTGAGGACAATCACTTTTGAGTAGTGATAATCATCTCTTTATTATTTTCAGCTAATAAAATATCATCAACATACAAAGATAGAATCAAAAAGCTATCTTTAGACCGTTTAACATACACACAATGGTCTTCATCGATCATCGTAAACTCATTAGAAGTGATAGCTCAATGAAACCTTAGATACCATTGTCTGGATGACTGCTTTAGGCCATAAATGGATCGTTGAAGTTTACAAATTTTATTCTCCTGACCCACCACCACGAAGTTCTCAAGTTGATCCATGTAGATCTTTTCATCCAGTTCTCCATTAAGAAATGCAGTTTTAACGTCCATTTGATATAGTTCTAATCCAAATGTGCGACAATAGTTAGAATCATGCGAATCGAGGCAAACCTTACAACTGGAGAAAAAGTTTCCTCGTAGTCCACACCTTCTCTTTGGGTGTAACCTTTTGCCACTAAGCAAGCCTTATAACTTTTTATGGATCCATCCGCCTTGCGCTTAATTTTGAGAACCCATTTGTCCCCAATAGACTTGCACCCAGACAAAAGGTCAACCAAGTCCCAAACTTGATTAGCCTTCATTGACTCCATCTCGTTATTCATTGCAACTATCCACTCATTACTAGTAGGTGATGATAGAGCCTTTTTAATATTTTTAGATTCAACATCATCATGTGGTGCAACCATGAAAGCTTCCCCTTCAATCTCAAAATGACGTCGAGCGATGGTTCCACGCTTGCTTCTACGTAACTCTGTGTCATATGGATCTACATCCATTGGAACTAATCCACCATTGAGTATATCACTTTCACTGTCCCTAGGAGGTAACGAAACTATTTTCTCAATCTCTACTTGGTTAGTGGGTATATCTCTTTGGGGATTATCTAACTCATAGAGTTCTATTCCTTTAGACACATCTCCTTTGCTAGGAAAATTCTCTTCAAGAAAAATTCCATCCCGTGACTCAATTTCAATTTTCCTTTCATCAAATTGTTCACCTATAAACACATAGCCCTTAGAGTGCTCAAAATAGTGGATGAAGATACACTTATTCCCTTTAGGACCTAACTTCCAATATTTATGAGAAGTATTGTGTACATAAACCGCTGAACCCCATGGCCGTAAATTATTTAAATCAGGTTTTGTGTCTGTCCATAGCTCACATGGGGTAGAAGGAACTGATTTAGAAAGCACTCAGTTAAGGACATAAGTAGCAGTCAATAAAGTATCTCCCCAATATGAAATCGGAAGATGAGCCTATGCCATCATAGATCTAACCATATTAAGTAAGGTGTGATTTTATCTCTCTGCTACACCATTTTGTTGTGAAGTGTCAGGTATTGTCAATTGCCTGATTATTTCTTTTTCTTCACACAGCTCTTTAAACTATTCAGATAGATACTCGCGATCTCGATCGGTTTTAAGAACCTTAATGTTATTGTCTTGTTGATTCTCAACCTCTTTAATGTAACGTTTGAAGCAATCCAATGCTTCGGACTTGTGAGAAATCAAATAGACATGACCGTAGTGTGTAAAGTCATCTATAAAAGTGATAAAATAGAATGCACCATGTATTGCCTTCACATTCATTGGGCCACATATATCTGAGTGTATTAATTGCAATGGAATATATGCTCTTTTGGCCTTGCCAAATGATTTTCTAGTTGTCTTACCTGCGAGACAATTTTCACATGTGGGCAAGTTGATTATGGCAAGTGGGCCTAAAAGTCCATCTCTAGCTAATCTATTGATTTTGTCTTGCCCAATATGACCTAATCTAGTATGTCATTTAATAGAATCAACATTATCCATAGATGTAACATAAGAATAAATTTCATTACTAGAATAATCAATATCTAATACAATTAAAACCATCTGTGATATAACCAAATCCATAGAATGTAGTTCTCCTATAAATGACAACATGTTGGCCTTCAAAACGAAAAATAAAACCTAATCTCATTAAGCTAATAACTGACAACAAATTTCGTCGGATTCCTAGAGCATATAATACATCATTAAGGTATAAAGTGCACCTGTGTCATAATTCCAGTTTGTATGTGTCAATCCCAAGCACATCTATATTGGTCTCATTCCCTATGTAAATTCATTTGCTTCCAACTGGAACTCGACGGTACTCCACAAATCCGAATCTGTATCTCGTTATGTGGTATGTTGCTCCTGAGTCTACAATCCACGAATTAGGAGACTAGTAACTAAACAGTCAATACGAGAGACATAACTAGAGAGTACCTTCTTCGACTCAGTGCATTCACAAGCGAAGTGACATTTCTTGTTGCAGTTATATCAGACCATGTTGGCTTTATTCTTCTTACCAACTCTTTTTTTACCCCACTTGTGCTTGTTATAATTAGAATGACCACCCCAGTTTGAGCATCAGACCTATTTCCACCGCACTTACGCTTGGACTTGAAGGTCTTGCGCGAGCCAACTTTAGCCACATAAGAGCTATTCTCACCTTTGGTAGCCTCCAAGCGCTTAGCCTTAAACTCAAGGTGACGCAATACATTCTCGAATGTTTTCAGACTCTCATTATACATCATATTTCTTTTCATATGCTCCCATGATGGTGGAAGGGAGCGAAGTATAGCTTGAACTTGTTGTTCATTGATCAACACATGACCAGCAGCGCCTAAATCACGTATCATAGTGGTCATAGCCCTCAGATGTTGTTTCATTGTATGCTCTGGCTTCTTTTGATACGAGTCAAACCTCATAGTCAAACCATGAAGTCTAACGAGAAACGCAATACCAAACTTCTCTTTGAGAGTCTTCCACATGGCGTGAGCTATGGAGTAAATCTCAAATTCAGGAATAAGGTCATCTTGCATGCTTGCTTGCATGGTATAACGCGTAAGTCAATCCTTATTCTGCCAAGACTGGTAAATCTCTTGTTCTTGGTGAGTCTGAGGTCGCTCAGGCTCTAGCAGTACAAAGTCAAGGATATCCAAGACTTGTTGCTCATACATGACAAATTGAATCTTATGACGCCATATGTCATAGTTATCGCCGTTCAATTTGTCGCCCTTAATTAATTCAGTCACTATGCTTTTAATAGTCATTATGATTTAATCTACATACAGAGACAATGCGTATGGGATATTAGTACAACACATTCTATAATTTTGTTACAAAAATCTAAATTCAAGTATTAAACAACTTTCACAAGTCACGAGATCGAAAGTTCACTAAGTTCCCAATCATTTCCCGCATCACAGGTGATTATTAATAATACTTAATTTAATTAATGCACAAAATTTCAATTTCCTAATACCGAACAAAATAAAACTCCCACTAAATCTAATATCTCTAGGCATACCGATCAAAATTAATTTTATATCATGCATGTTCTCACTATTTAAATAATACTATTCTAATTTAGATTATACTAAACAACAAAATAAATAAAACTAGTATATTCATCATCCTAACATTACTCTATGCATAATTTCGGTATCACATAAAAAATCAGATATTTATTTCAATTTTTATTTTTTTAAAAGTTTAATATCATAATCTTAAAAATCAAATATAATTAAAATTCAATATCATAAACTAAAAATCCAGTAACTACAAGTGCACGTATGACACTTATTGATGGCAGGGAAAGAAAAAACAAACAATGGTACACAGAAAGTACAAGCTACCAACTGCTTATTGTATAATAATATTTTGTTAGTGTTGGTCTATGTGTATTCTATCTGCCACGCCATGGTTCCTATCAAACTTCATTTAATTTGACAGATATTAAATTTAACAGCAACGACGAACAAACACGATGTTTTCAAGTTTCAAGCCAAACAACGGGTGTGTAGGATTCAAGCCAACATATCCGCTGTCTTCGTTAAAAAAAAAAACTTAAAAAATTAAAAAACTCCCAAACCGTGAAGTTTTTTTTTTTTTTTTTAGAATTTTTCAGATTGATTTATGTTTACACGAATTATAACACATTTAAATTCTAAGGCATTCGGAGACCGTTTATTCGAGATGCCATAAAAATTCATTCGAAGTTTTTTGCAAAAAAAAACAATATTTCTAAACAATTGATAATTAATCCCAAAGTTACGAGAACACCCTAAATGGCTCTGATACCAATGTTGAAAATCCGAAAATTGTCTTTTATTTGATTGCTCGAGCAATATAATGTTGTTACAATAGGAATCAAGACCAAGTTTCCACAGCACAAAAGTCTTTCAACATTATATAGGGAGAGAGAAATAAATTAGAAGACTTTAAAGTTTTATTATTGTTGAGTGATCTCTCATTTATTGGTTACCTTGAGTTTATATAGACAACCAATATGTGTCATTAAGAGACACATAATATAGGGACATATCTGTTAATATTTAACAGACATGTACTTTGGGTGAAGGATACATTTTGATACAGGATACCTCTTGGTAAAGCCGTAAAGGATACCTCTAAAAGATATTTCTCTTTGGGCATTCTTTAATTTGGGTCAACCCACCATGGACGTCCCGGTTCGGGTCCATGACCCAACCAATATCTAACATTAAGTTTTTCTTAATAAATTATAGTTAATCTATTCAATTTTTTTTTTGATATAGTTGGTTCTGAATAAGATTTTATCAATTTAGGTTTTGAAAACCTCATTTTAGTTGAGGCGACTATTATAAGCAATGTATATATTCAAGAAAAAAAATTAATCATTTTATGTATTTTAGAATTTCAATTGGAATGTTTATTTTAAAACTATTTTTAAAATTTTTAATTATGAAAATAAAATTAAGCCATATACATCATAAATAAAATGTTTAATAATAAAAATTTATTATATACAACTAACCAACAATATATGTACTTAAATATTATATGCTCTTAAAAATAAAAAAAATTATATAAAAATAAGAAAAAATGTACCTATTTTGCTTTGAAGGTACCAAAGATTATTCGCATTACGTTTTAGAAGTGAGCTGGTAGCACAAACGTGCATTCAGAGAGAGAGAGAGGGGGGGGGGGCTAGCTTTTTTTAGGGGAAAAAAATAAAAACAATCATGATATAAAATATAAAATTACGAGGACTTTATTGAACTTAACTAAACGGAGAGAATTTTTGGGCCTAATAAAATTAGACATTGACTTGGGCTCTAAAAATGAAGGCCTAAAAATTCAGGATCTACTTAAAACTCAAATTCATAAAATTTGGGCCTAAAATACTATTTAATGACTATAATTTGGAGCTCTAAGGTGGGGGGCCTAGGCAGCCACCTTAGTGGCCAGGGCCGGCCCTGCCTGCCACAATCCACAAGTACAGCATTGCATTTGCGGTGACAACCTACCCCCTGCCGTAAGTTTTAAAAAATGTAGTTTGATCTTTTTACCTAGTTTTATTTACACAGAAGAGAAAGGATAAGATCACAATGAGAAATATCTCTGAGCATAACAACGATATTAAGAACTAGGTTCTTAATGTTGGACCTCCTCCATTGTATTGGTATGTGTCACACGAAGCATCTCATGTGATAATTAAGAGTAATAGCCTAACACAAAAGAATTTGAATGTAAGAAATGTGAAGTTATGAATGAAAAGCCAGCCGACTATCTCAACAACTTAAGATTTTGTATTTTGTCAACTAGGTTTGGTTGTGAGCATATTGGACTCATACCCTGATCTTGCTCAAAAACATGATGAGAAGGGTATTACTCCTTTCAATTTGTTGGCCTCAAAACCATCTTCTTTTAGAAGAAGATCGGCATATGTGTTGAATGATCTAAGCAGGACACCTGTCATCACCTGGCAGGTAGTTGAAGCAGTAATCTGCAATTGTAAGTATTACATCATTACACCACCGTAGTATTAAACATAATTTTTTGTTTATATATCTATTTTTTGCGGCTTATTCCAACTTCCTTTTTAGAATATAACTTAAAAAGGCAAATCTTTAAGTTTTGTCTCAGAAACAATCAAACAACAAAGAGCCGAATAGGTGTCTTAAGGTTTCCACTTCTTGTTTTCTTTCTTTCTTATGAAGTTATGGCACGCTGGGCCTTCAGAATGGCAATAATTGATTGAGGTCTTTGAAATGTATACTAGCACATCTTTCTTCATCTGGTTGAGCTTGTAGAAAAGTTATTTTTTTTTATCAAGCAGTTAAGTAATAGCCTACTTAACTAGAATGACTTTTGAGTTTTGCATTATTTTGTGGCTGAGCAGGTATTCCAACAATGTATGTCGAGGCAGCTTTGGAGCCACAAGCTGCCAGTAATGTAGAGGACCCAAATGATAATAGACTTGGAATTTCCAAACTAGAAAGGTCATCTTTCATCAGAAGAATCTTAGGTGTGCTAGCTCTTCTTATTCTTGTTTTTCATCTGCTTGTCTTTAATTTTCTATGAATTAAAAAGATTCACATACTTGATTTCTGGTTAAACGAGCTAAAAATCCTAAAGAAGAGAAGTCAACTGCCGGATGAAACTATATTGTCACCATTCAAAAAGAAAGTATGAATAGCATTTTCCAGGACTATCAGTCACTTCAGCCCTTTCAGTGATACATGCAATTTATGGTATTTTTCTTTCTCTGTTGCTGCTTCTACTTTATTTAGAGTTTCTCTCCTGTTATATAGGTTGCTGGTATTTCAAAAAAATTGATGATGCCAAGCAAAAGCATGAACTTGCCGTAGTGCTGGCAAAGAGATTGATCGGGAAAGAAGATTGGAGTCAATACATTTACTATGAAAGTATTGATCCTGAAGACAGCTTATTTGGGATATCTTCAAGGAAGACAAATACAGTGCCTGACCCGCTAATACAGGCAACAGGGTTCGGCATTCTCAAGCTGGTAATGGTGATCCTCCAAAAATATCCCGAGGTCGCAGGTTCCTTTGATGAGAATGGAAGGAACATACTACATATAACAATGGAGCAGAAGCATAGGTTTATGTATGACTACTTGATGAACTTTGGTGCATATAAGGATAGGATGCTAGCAAATATTGATAACCAATGGAACACCATCTTGCACCTTGCAACATGTGTGGCGTATCCGGCTAGCTCTCCTTCTGGATTCACAGATTCTGGTGATCGATGGAGTGCCAATTTTCATGTTCGGGCAAAGCGGGGAAGTGTTGGAGTGGTGAACCAGATGAGTTGGGATGTGCTTTGGTTTAAGGTATTGAAGGCAATTTTAGACTTTATAGCATGTGGATGTGGGGGGGGGGGGGGGGGGGGGTGGAGTTTGGTCCCCCTACTGTCAATGTGGACTTGCCACTGCCCATGGCCCGCTGGTCCAATGGTTGCAGGCCAAATCTCAACCTTACTCTTAGCACAATTGTAAAACTCGGGTAAATTTAGACTGTTTACTAAAAGGGGTAAAATGATAAATTGTCGGTACGGTACGGATTACAAACCTGAATGTTTCTAACGCTTGGATGACGAAACGGATCTCATCGTTGTATTCGTCTCGCAAAATCTAGTTACTCTGTCAAATTTTGTCGAATTCTGAAATAGTCGAATTTTTTACGTTTTACGAGATAGTTGGGTCTCGGGTGACCCAAAAACGAAATTTTAATAAAATTTCAAATTTGAAAAATAATTTAATGCAAGTCAAAATAAAAATATTTTAAACTTGAATCAAACAGAAATTTAATCGTTTCATGGCGAAAACGGATTTGGAAAAAAAATGGTTGTGTGGCACGTCGTGGGCCAAGTAATTAAAGGGTATAAATAGGGAGAAATATCTGATTTCTCCCCCACAACTCAACTGGTCTTCAATGTTGGAAAGGGAAGAGAGGGAAAAAGTGAGAAAACTCCAACTTCTGTCTTTGATCTACGCCTCTTCTTCGCTCGAATCAACTCAAACCAAAAATAAAAGGTGTTCTACTTGACGAGGGTTACGCCTACATACCAAAAGGAGCTAATTTCACCAAAGTTTATGCGACAGGTTTTTGGGAAATCAAAAGTTTTGGACTTGGGTGATATTCTTGAAGGTTCTACTGTTGATTTTACGCTTCAAGAGGTAGGAATTTCTCTCGAATTAGGTTTATTTTCAACCTAGAATAATTATATGGAATGGTTAGATTGTTAGATAATTTTAACACTTGCCTATTGTGATGAGATTGGTGAAATGGGTAAGTTGATAGAAGTTGTATCACTTGTCTATTCTTGTAAAAAAAAATTGAGGAAATGGGTATTGAGAATAGGTAGAATAATTTCTATCATGAATAAGGTATGTGGAAATTTCCTAATATGATTCTTAAGTTGTGTGATTAATTGGACAAATTATGTGATGACATGATTGGATGCCTTGAAGGTGTTTGAAATAAATGCAAATGTGAAATCAAGTATGCTTGCATAGATAATGTGATAACATGCTAGAGACTTGTTATGGGTGTGATGTTAATATATGTCTTATTATATGTTAGCATTATGATAAGTGTGGAAAATAAGTAGAATAAATTTCATCTTGAATTGAATAGGTAAGATTAACCTAATGTGATTCTTGAATTATGTGAATTACGGGCATGTTATGTGTTTATGTTATGCATTGATGAATTTAGTGTGTTGATAGCATGATTATGTGATAACACGCTTGAAAATTGTGTTATAGGAATTGTTGATATATATACATACTTGTGATATATTGGCATTGATGAGTTATAGAAATTATATACTTGGATATAATTGTCCATGGAATGTGTTGAAATAGTTCATATGTCATTCGTAGCATATTGGACAATATATTATTGTTGCAATGGTTCATTACATTGCATTTGTACAAGGGCATCACATTCATAGGCATAAGGCGTGAGTGTGGATGTGTGTGTGCATGGTTGATCAAACATCATTCTTAGTGAATGATATGTGGCCTCGAGAAAAGTTGGAACTAATTTTTGACTGAGTTGCACGGTTGCATCAAAAACTTGTGTCGGGTACAGCAAACAGGGCTAGATTCTCCCTTAGATGCAAGACCCGACTACCTGGTTCATACACTCCCCTGAGGTAATATTCTGTAAAAGTATATTGGTGTGTGGAACCAGCGGTGTGATACCAAAACTCCGCTACCCAACAAAGATACATAATTTTGTTTTATAAAATACCTGGTTCATATACTCCCCTGAGGTGAAATTTCGAAAAAGTGTATTGGTGTGCGGAACTAGCGGTCTGATACCAAAACTCTGTTATCCAACAAAGACACATGATTTTGTTTTATAAAATACCTAGTTCATACACTCTCCTGAGGTGAAATTCCAGAAAAGTGTATTTGTTTTATAAAATAGTCATTCGATGTGTAACGTCCAACAAAGACACATAATTTTTTTTTTATAACAAAGGCACATGATTTTATTTTAAAAAGATCATTGGATGTATATCATCAATGGCTAATTTATACACTTTAACATTGCATTGTATTGAATGAGTCAAAGAGGGCTCAGGCTGAAGTTCATGAGTGAGTCACATCTCATTTCATGACATGCATAGGATTTTTATCATTGAATGCATATTCTTGATTGGAATGTTTGAATGATTGATTGTAACATGTGAACATTTCATATGTATCTAGGTTGGAGAATAACCTCTTTGGAAGATGCCCTATTGAGCATGGCTCACCCTTTATGGGAAAATATTTCAGGTGCGGGTCATATATCGGTGGAAGACCCTCACACGGGACCTCAAGAATGAAGAAAGCCGGAATGTGACTTTATTTTGTATTTTTGTAATACTTAGTCATGGCATATTAATATATGAAATGATTGTAGTTGAACTTGTAGGAAACATGTTTTAATATGAAGAACTTCAATGAACATGTATTGAATAGTTGTGGGATGGATTGGAAGTGATTGGAAATCAAAAACAGGTGAAATGGACTGCTTTAATGTAAAAAAAAAAAAAGAGCATGTTATGAGTATGGATAAATAGACCCGGTGTGATCAATGTTTACTTATAAATGAATCCGGTGTGATCAATATTTATAAATTGACCTGGTGTGGTTAATGTAGTATAATTACATAAGTTGTGTTTTGGGTAGAGCTTTTTGTACAAAGAAGACTCTGCCCAAATTTTGTTAAATTAAGGACCCCCCCCCCCCGATTTTTGGGGCATCACAACAATACTTAAAACACCTTTAACCTCGTTGATGCTTCCTAATCCTTTTTCACACCCATGGCATCTTCGCAACATTGAGGGAAAGGCAGCAGAACAATTATTCGAAGAAAATCACTCAGTTCTTCGAGAAGAAGTAGAGAAAGCAGCCAAGCACGTGAGTGACAACTTAATCTTCGTCGCCATCCTCATTGGCACAATCAATTTCGCGGCGCTTTTCACTGTCCTTGGAAGTTTCAGTCAAAATACTGGAATTCCCATGTTCCATGAAAATTATAAGCAAGAAATGGATTTCTTGCTTGGTGTACATAGGCCTTGGTCTCTTCTTCGCCTTTCTCTCCTTAGCAACTCTCATGCTAATTCAGCTATCACGGTTTGACACCAATGATTTTCACATTGCCATTTCAGCAAAAACTATACTTTCCTGCATCACCATTATCTACTCCACTTGTTTTTCTACCACAGTGTATGCTCAAGGCATATTCTTGAAGGGAAATTGTCAACCTTCTTGACCACCTTTTTGACTTTGTTCCTGCTGTTTGTGTCGACAGTGTTGGCCCTCATAATGATCGACAGAAAGGTATTGATATTCGACTACATGTACTATGTGATACACCATTTGCTTGTTTATAGTTTTATTTGATGTTTGTATTGAACAGAATTACAAGTGAACAAAAGAAGAGAATTACAAATGAACAAAGGCCTTCTTTTTGTTGGTACAATGGACAAGGAAATCAGAGTTACCTAGGTGCTCTACAAGTCCGGGCTTATACATTGATTGTTTGAATTTTTCTGCGAGACAAATAACTGGTTATTTCATGTTTAAGTTAATTACAATTATTTCACATAATAATATAATTGAAGGATTACTTGGGTAAGTCATGAATTTGATTGTTACGAGTGTTTGATTTATTGTAGACTCCAGACACAATAAATACTTATAACCGGCAACCACTTCATTGATTTTTCTGAATAAACTTTTGATTATAAACAAAGGTGTTTTCTTTGAAGGATTACTTGGGTAAGTCATGAATTTGATTGTTAGGAGAGTTTGATTTATTGTAGACTCTGGACACAGTAAATACTGATGACCGGCAACCATTTCATTGATTTTTCTGAATAAACTTTTGATTATAAACAAAAGTGTTTTCTTGTTCTTATTGCTAAATTTGGTGACTTGAGTCAACTGACACTTGATTCTTGTCTAGATTTGAAAACTAAGTCTTTAATCATTATTGTATGGATTTGAGAAGGAGTACCTGATGCTCTAATATTTTTCGTATTGTGTCTAATCACTTTATTCAGTTTTATCAATTCAAATACTCTTTTGGAAACAAAACATTTTCATAAGTTTTTTACAGAATTTAGTGTGGTTTTTGGTATTTTCACAATTCCCTGAGGGTTCGACTTCGGTCTTTCGAGTTTATATTATTTCGCACAACCTACGCTTAGATTTACATATTTAAAGTTGTAACAAGTTTTTTAGCGCCATTGCCGCGGAATTGTTGTAAGACAAGGAGCCGCCATCACATTTATTGAGGTTTTCGGTATTTACGATTCGTCGGAGATTTGGTAACTTCATTCCATTTTTATTTTGCTGAAATTTATTTTTTTTTTGTCATTTAATTTTATTTTCTTTTTTATTTATTTCTTTTATTTTTTTATGAGTTCTTGGCATCGTGATTTGAGTGGTCATTTGATTAGAGAAGATTTAAATATTTTGTTTGGAAACCTTTTTTATTCATCTGATTCAAATCACACTTTTCATACAATGGCTGCAGATCCTAATAATAGGCGAAATAATTTTCCTGAACATGAGGATCACGAGAATAGAATAAGTAATCATGATGAGCATGATGTTGATAATGTGAATGCTAATCATGGTCGGACTTTGCGTGAATATCTGTAACCTGCACGTCACACTGCACCCTCATGCATCATTTTTCCATTGAATACCATGAATTTTATTTTTAAACCTGGTATGATTGCATTACTTCCAAAATTTCATGGCATGGGATCAGAAAATCCTTACTTGCATATTAGAGACTTTGAGGAGGTTTGTGCTGCATTTCAAGATCAGACTGTGTCTGTGAATACAATCAAGTTGAAACTCTTTCCTTTTTCATTAAAGAAAAAAGCTAAGAGTTGGTTGCATTCCCTCAGACCTAGGTCTATAGGTACATGGCCTAAGATGCAAAAAAAATTCTTGAAAAAAAATTTTCCCACACATCGCACAAACTCTTTTAAAAGGAAAATTATGAATTTTTCTCAAAAAGAGTCTAAAATTTTTGATCGAAGTTGGGATAGATTTAAAGACCTCCTTGCAGCTTGCCCACTTCACGGTTATGAGAGTTGGAATGTGATAAGTTTCTTTTATAAAGGTTTGATCTCACAAATGCGCCAGTTTGTAAAAATGTTGTGTAACGGTGATTTTATGAATAAGGAACCAGATGAGGCTTTTGACTTTTTAGATCGTTTAGTTGAGAATGCACAATCTTGGGATATTACATCCTAAGAACCTCCTAAAAGTAAGACCACACAATCCTCATCGAGTGGGGGTAAGTATCTGTTGAGGGATGAAGATAACCTAGGGGCTAGAATTGCTACATTGGGTAGAAGAGTTGAGGCTATGAAATTTAAAAGGATAATGAGATTGACATTGTCCCTATTGAGGATATTTGTAGCATTTGTTAAATCCTTGGGCACTCCATAAAGAAGTGTCCAACAATACCTGTTTTAAAAAAAGTCTTGCATGATCAAGCAAATGTTGCAAATACCTTTTCAAAGCCTTATAACAACCCATATTCTAATACATACAACCCGGGGTTGAAAAATCATCCAAATTTTAGTTAGAGGGGTGAAAATCATGTATCACAAATACCTCAACATAATTCCTCTAATTTTGTTCCCTACACTCCACCCCAAAAGAGGAATTTTGAGGAGGTATTGTCACAATTTATGCAAAGTCAAACCAATTTTAACAATCAAACCACACTGGCTATAAATGACATCAGAAGTACACTCACTAAATTGACCACTGCCCCACGCCAACAAGAGAAATGTAAGTTTCCAGCCCAACCCCAACCAAATTCGCAAGGTCAATTTCATGTGAGTGAAACTGCCACATCTGATACCATCTGTGAGCAGATAAAGTCTATCACCACATTTCATAGTGAGAAAGTAATTGACAAAACTATTCCCACTAAAGTTCAAGAATCAAATGAAATTTCAAAATCTATGGAGAGTGGTGATATACTTGACAATCTGAATCATTAAGCCTGAAAGGTATCCGACATCTGCATCATTCCGCAAAGATTACTTACGTCTATCAAGAAAACATGGACAACGATATGTTGAAAATTTTTAAGCATGTAAAGATCAATATCCCATTGTTAGATGCTATTAAACATATACCTTCTTACGCAAAATTTTTGAAAAATTTGTGCACTGTTAAAAGGAAATTAAATGTGCAAAAGAAAACATTTTTTACTGTGCAGGTATCTTCCATCATACAACATAGGACTCCATCAAAATATAAAGACCCAGGTTGTCCCACCATTTCTTGTGTTATAGATAACCACAAAATTAAACAGGCTTTACTAGATTTGGGAGCTAGTGTAAACTTGCTTCCGTATTCTGTATATGAGCAATTATGGTTAGGGGAGTTGAAATCTATTTCGGTTATACTTCAGTTGGCTGATCGTTCAGTTAAAATACCGAGGGGTAAGGTGGAAGATATATTGGTACAGGTTGACAATTTTTATTTTCCTGTGAATTTTATAATTTTGGATACTTAACATGTGTTAAGTTTTAATGCTCAAATTCCTGTCATATTTGGAAGACCATTCCTAGCTACTTCAAATGCACTAATTAACTGCAGGAATGATGTGATGAAGTTATTTTTTGGTAATATAACATTAGAGCTTAATATTTTTAATGTGTGCAAACAACCAGCGGAGGTTGATACGGATGTGCATGAGATTAATATGATTGAGTGTATTGTTCCAAACAGAGTATATGATTCTTTTTTGTTTGATCCACTTGAAACATGTTTGCTGGAACAATATTCTTTGTTAGAGATAAATGAAAATAATTCTGAAATTTCTGAATTGATTGATTTGTTAAATTCTTCACAGGTTCTTGAAATAAAAGATTGGAAACATAAATTTGAGGAGCTACCACTAAGAACCAATCGACCAGTTCCATCAAGTGATAAAGCTCCTAAGCTCGAATTGAAACCCTTGTTTGTAGATTTACAGTATGCATTTTTAGGGGATGATGAAACATTTTCGGTAACAACATTTTCTTGTTGGACTCTAGCTGATATAAAAGGGATTAATCCATTGGTTTACACTCATAAGATATACTTAGAGGATAATGTTAAAACATCTCATGAGATGCAAAGGAGATTTAACCCACATATGAATGAAGTTGTAAGGAATGAGGTGCTAAAATTGTTAGATGTAGGAATAATTTATCCTATTGCAGATAGTAAGTGGATAAGTCCTACACAGGTAGTCCCCAAGAAATCAGGTGTCACTGTAGTTGCCAATAATAATAATGAACTTATACCAACTAGGACAATAACTAGTTGGAGAATGTGCATTGACTACAAAAAATTAAATTTTGTGACTAGAAAAGACCACTTCCTTTTGCCTTTCATGGATCAAATTTTGAAAAGGGTGGCATCACATATGTTTTACTATTTTTTGGATGGTTATTCGGGATATAAACAAATTGAAATTGCCCTAGAAGACCAAGAGAAGACCACATTTACTTGTCCTTTTGGTACCTTTGCTTATCGAAGGATGCCCTTTGGACTTTGTAATGCACATGCGACCTTTCAAAGGTGTATGTTTAGTATTTTTAGTGATATGGTTGAGCGTTTACTTGAAGTCTTTATGGATAATTTTACTGTTTTTGGTGATTCATATGATGATTGCCTGTTAAATCTTGAGAAAGTGCTTATTAGATGTGAAGAAAAGAACCTTATACTCAATTGGAAAAAATACCACTTATGGTTCGAAAGGGAATTGTTCTTGGTCACATTGTCTCTTCTTAGGGAATTCGGGTTGACAGAGCCAAGATTGAATTAATTGCTAATTTACCTACACCCAAAACCCTTAAGGATGTTAGATCTTTCTTGGGTCACGCTGGTTTGTATAGGAGGTTTATAAAAGACTTTAGTTCTATATTTAGACTACTTTGCCACCTCCTAGGAAAAGACTCACCTTTTGAGTGGAATGAGTCGTGCCAAGAGGCTTTGATAAGCTGAATGGCATGCTCATCACTACTCTAATTCTGCAACCCCCAGATTGGAGTCTTCCTTTTGAAATCATGTGTGATACCATTGATTACGCCGTAGGGGCAGTTTTAAGACAACGAAATGAGAAAAAATCACATGTCATAAACTATGCTAGTAGGACCTTGAATACTGCACAAATGAATTATTCTACTACAGAAAAGGAATTACTAGTAGTAGTGTTTTCCCTAGACAAGTTTAGGTCTTATCTAATAGGATCCCCTATTGTTATTTTCACAGACTATGCAGCTCTTAAATATATGTTAATTAAAAAAGATGCAAAATCAAGACTGTTTAGGTGGATCCTCTTACTCCAAGAATTTGATCTAACAATCAAAGATAAAAAAGGAGTAGAAAATGTTGTGGTTGACCACTTGTCTAGACTTATGAGTGACGTGCCGATAGAAACAATGCCGATCAAGGATGCATTCCCTAATGAACAATTG